AACAAACTGCCCACACTGCACTGAGCGTTCAGCAGTATTTTTGTTTTGTTAGTTTGGTTTCAAAGATATGGGGTACAATTCAAGGTTAGGTACATGAATGATCATTGCGCAAGTGAAGTTTGGGCCGTATTTTAACAAAAACAACATGACCCCCATTCTCCACTCTTCCTATTCACCCAATCTTACCCCAGCAACTATATTTTGTTTCCCTGAATGAAAAAAGTCTTCAAAGGGAAATGTTTTCCTAATGTGGAATAAATGAAGCAAAAAGTGGCAGATGCACTAAAAGACATCAAAATTGACACGTTCAGCAAGTGTTTTGAACACTGGGAAAAGCATCTCGATGGGGTGTATTGCATCAAATGGAGTACTTTGAAGGTGACTGAAGTTTAAACATGTAAGGATAAATACACAAATTTTTATAAATAAATTCTGTTTGGAGGGCGGTACCTCTCGCATTGTACATGAATTTTCAACTGTTTGCAGAATCAGCAACCCTAGTCCTCCTATTGTTCAAAAGTCAACTCTATTTTTCCTTAATGAAGTATTTATACTTTTTTCTATATTGTTTTCACTTTTTTTTTTTCTTTGAGTTTGAGTCTCACTCGGTCGCCCAGACTGGAGTGCAGTGGCCGCTCCCGGCCTCGGCAGCCTCGACCTGCTGGGCTCCAGCGATCCTTCCACCTCAGCCTTCCAAGTAGCTGGAACTACAGGTACGTGCTACCACACCCGGATAATTTTTTATTTATTGTAGAGATGAGGTCTTGCCAAGTTGCCCAGGCGGGTCTCAAACTCGCGGGCTCAGGCAATCAACTCACCTCAGCCTCCCAAAGCGCCGGATTACAAGCTGAGCCACCGAGCCCGGCTAGAAACTCTTTTTAAAAAATTTATTTTAACTAAAAGAGAATCAATTCTCAGTCTTCTTACATTTTCAAAAGAATACATTTTACCAAGAAGATTAAAAATGTGCACCTTTACACAAGACATGCTGATAATACCTTCATCTGCAATCAAACAAGATGATTGCAAGTGTATTGTAAGTTTTATTGTTCATGCTAGAACATACCTTAAATCAGAAAGAATCATAAGTAAAACTATTTTTTAAATGCTGTAATTTTAAATGTAATTTGCATAAATTAACCAAGAAAAACAAATACAAAACTTAGGTCAACACAAAGATACTCATTTCAATCACTCAAGCATGTTAATATTTATCATATGATATTCAACTTGTCAAATACTTTACTTTGCTGAAATGATACAGAGAGTCAGGAAGAGGCCCAGAGGAAGGCAGTATTAGTTTCACTCTACATTACGAGGCGCTGCCTAAAGTCACCCCAACGCCTTGAGGAACAGAAAGCACTTACTTGTTTATAAATTGCTCCAACCCCTGCTTCCTTTCCTCAATAAAGTTGTCATCAAATATTCCATCATCTCCTCGAAAAGGAAGTTGACGCAAAAATGCTTTCCCAGGGAGCGGGGGAACTACAACCTGAAACAGTAGGAACGAGTTAGTCCTCGAGCAAGCTGACAGTGGTGAAAGTACAGGACACAACACGAAGGCAAGGCCCAGCCTCACCATGGAGCCACCCCGCTCTCACACCATTTAAATATGTAACAGTAAAGAAACATACTGGCCAGGAGTGGTGGTCACACCTGTAATCCCAGAACTTTAGGAGGCAGAGGACTGCCTGAGACCAGGTGTTTGAGACCAGCCTGAGCAACTTGGCGAGACCTCGTCTCCACAATAAATAAAAAAATTAGCCGGGTGTGGTGGCGTGTGACTGTAGTTCCAGCTGAAGGATCGCCTGAGCCCAGCAGGTCAAGGCTGCGGTGGCTGTGCACGTGCCACTGCACTTCAGCCTGGGTGACAGAGTGAGACTCCAACTCAAAAAACAAAACAAAACAAAACAAACACACTGAAAAAAGGCCCAATGCTCTGAAGGTAAGATAACCAACACAGGATAGCCCATCATACCAGAGCTCACCAAAGGCAGGGCCAACAGCTTAGATCATTTTGGGGGGGATTTATCAAAGCATAGGCATACAAAAAAGAACATTCACAATACTGAAATAAAGGTTACTGTGCTCCTTGGACACTTCTGATCCTATCTGGACACTTCTGATGCCTTACTGCACAGGGAACGGCAGTGATCAAAATCAACTAACCCTCAATTAAATGAAGATATGGTAACAGTATTCTCTCTGAAACATGGGTAGATAAGAATTCTGGAGTTTCTTCAATATCTTTTTTTTTTTTTAAAGGTGGAGTCTCACTGTCGCCAAGGCTGGAGTGTAGTGACATGATCATGGCTCACCACAGCCTTGACCTTCTGGGATCAGGAAATCCTTCTGCCTTGGCCTCCCAAGTAGCTGGGACTACAGGCACGTGCCACCATAATCTGGTTGATTTTTTGAGTAGAAACAAGGTCTCACTATGTTGCCTAGGCTAGTCTCAAACTCCTGGGCTCAATCAATCCTCCCGCTTCAGCCTTCCAAGATGCTGGGATTACAGGAGTGAGCCACCACACCCAGTCTCTCACCATCGGCATGTAGCCTTTCCTACTTGTGCATGAGGCGATGAAAAAATAATCAACAACTCTACCTCCTGCCACTCTTCTGTTTCGTCACCCAAGAAGCACGTAAGTCACCTTCTCCCAAAGACCTGACATTTCTTCCTTCCCACACGGTGGTAACATCCCCAATTTTTCCTTTCAAAGCCTAATCAAGGGTAAGCTCACGCTGATTGCTCCCTTCTGGGAATTCCTGGATATCATCTAGCTATTTCAGAGGCCAGTCTAGTTTCTCTGCCCTAGAGCTTTGTCCTGGGGCTTTCTTGTGTGTTCTTTACTTTAGCAGCTTCCCTGGCCTCTACCCACCAGACGCCAGCAGCACGTCCAGTGGAGACAACAAAGCACGCCTCCAGACATTGTCAAATGTCTCCTGGGGGACAAGATATCCTTAGCGAAGAACCACCAATCCATTCTATTAATGCCTTCAAATCAAGGATCCTGTCTGAGGCTTCTTATGGTTATTTGAAGAAAATCTGAGCATACAACAGAAGCTCAAATATTTGTTAAATTAGACCAACCATGTAGCTGGATCCCTATACTGAAACAAAGAAATGCATAAGCATACAACAAGACCTAGGAGAAATAGAAATAGTAAACTGATATATAAAAACGTATTCCTTTTCACCAGTAATGTAAATCATACCCATTCTTTTTTTTTTTTTTTTTTTTTTTTGAGTCAGGGTCTCACTCTGTTGCCCAAGCTGGAGTGCAGTGGCTTGATTACTGCTACCTCAGCCTTGACCTGCTGGGCTCAGGTGATCCTTCTGCCTCAGTCTTCCAGGTAGCTGAAACTACAGGCGTGTGTCACCACACCTGGCTAATTTTTTGATTTGTTGTAGAGACGAGGTCTTGCCAAGTTACCCAGACTTGTGAGCCACCCCTGGGCTCAGGCAGTCCTCTCACCTCCGCTTCCCAAAGTGCTGGGATTACAGGCATGAGCCATTGTATAAAGCAAATCACACACAAACTAATAAAGTTTAAACTTTAAACCCTTGATGCAGAGTTTCTATACCTAGGAGTTTATCCTATAACAAAATTCAATAGGGTAAAAAAGGGAAAAGATCAATTCAATTTCATGCAGATGAACAAAACACAAGAAGTGGCACCCTTCCTAGATTTACTTTCCCCAGATGACCAATGCTGAAGACACCAAGGATTCTCTCTATAGGATTGCTCTAGCATTCCCAAATCTCTCCCATATGCAGCATCTGTTAAATTAAGAGTTAAGATCTGCAAGCCAGCTGTGGTGGCTCACGCCTGCAATCCCAGCCGGGCCAACTTGGTGAGACGTCGTCTCTACAATCAATAAAAAAATTAGCCAGGCATAGTGAAGCGTGCCTGTAATTCCAGCTACCTGGAAGGCTGAGGCAGAAGGATCGCCTGAGCCCAGCAGATCGAGGCTGCAGTGGCCATGAGTGTGCACTCCAGCCTGGGAAACAGAATGAAACTCCAACTCAAAAAAGGATCTGCAGGCATCTTACAACTGAGATGCTGGCCACTAAGTTCCAGCAGAATGCCTTTCTGGCAGGCAGGGAAGAAATGTGTATCTACACAACTGTTATTTTAAAATAAATTAACAGTATATTAAATAAAAGACCATTACTTCAGGGTGGAAGTTAGCATGAAAATTAAGAAAAAGAGCCGGGTGCAGTGGCTCAAGCCTGTAATCCCAGCACTTTGAGAGGCTGAGGTGAGAGGACTGCCTGAGTTCAGGGTTCAAGACCAGCCTGGGCCAACTTGCTGAGATTTCATCTTTATAATAAATAAATTACAAAACAAGTCAGGTGTGGTGGCACATGCCTATAGTTCCAGTTACTTGGAAGGCTGAGGTAGAAGGATCGCCTGAGCCCAGCAGGTTGAGGCTGCAGTGGCTTTGAGTGTGCCACTGCACTTCAGCCTGGGCAACAGAGTAAGACTCCAATTAAAAAAAAAAATTAGGAAAAGATTACTCTGCATTGTCATTGGGAGAAATATATTCTTCCTAACATCATGCTCCAAAGGGATGGTGAGGGTGTACACAAGCATTAACGACCTACAAAATCCACGATGGCTTATCAAGCTGAGATCCCAAAGATTCTCTTCTACACTAAATTGTTTTTGCTTAAGCAGTCTGAAAAGATCTAATTAGAGTTCTAACACCAATTTAAAAGTCATGAACCCAGAGATGCGTGTGTGCATGTGGAGTGAGAAGCAGACAGGAAAACGCGGGTAAACATAACATACTGAAAGCCAAAGCACACCAGAACAAAAGCTAAGAGAGCTAACCATAATCAATGTCACCTAACTCTAGTTTAGTTGAACAGATCTTAGTTAAAAGCACGAATATATTACACAATAACTTGATTACATTGCATTCAGCAATACTGTAATAGTCACAAAACCTTCACATAGGTTCAGCTCCCAAGATATCTGATCTAACATTAAATGTGAAGTACTAAGCTGGGCTCGGTGGCTCAGCCTGTAATCCCGTGCTTTGGGAGGCTGAGGTGAGTGGATGGCCTGAGCCCGCAGGTTTGAGACCCGCTTGGGCAACTTGGCGAGACCTCATCTCTGCAATAAATCAAAAAATCTGCCAGGCGTGGTAGCGCATGCCTGTAATTCCGGCTCCTTGGAAGGCTGAGGCAGAAGGATCGCCGGAGCCCAGGAGGTCGAGGCTGCGGTGGCTGGGAGTAGCCACTACACTCCAGTCTGGGCAACAGAGTGAGACTCCAACTCAAAAAAAATAAAATAAAATAAAAAATAAATAAATGTGAAGTACTGTGCTTCAAAGGACAACATCAGGAACATGAAAACCAACCTGCAGATTGAGAGATGTTTGCAATCATAAGGGACCTGTGAGTCTTTTATATAGTCTAGATACAACTCTACAATAAAAAGATAAATATCTCAAACAGGCATGGATCTGAACAAACATCTCTCCAAAGAAGATACATAAATGGCCAATAAGTACATGAAAAAATGATCAACATTATTAGCCATCAGAGAAATGAAAATCAAAACCACAATGCAAACATTAAGGCAGCCATAATAAAGAAGGCACGAGGGAGGGAGGAGGGTGGGGGCAAGTGACAACACAAAGGGGACTTGGCCCACTACTGGGGTACTGAGGGCTGGTTAGAAGCCCAAACTTCACCTGCATGCAGCCTGATGATGTAGTTAATCCTCACTTGTACCCCATATCTATGAAATAATAAAATAAAATGAAGACAGGTAATAACAAGTGTTGGTGAGGATGTGGATAAAAGTGGAACCCCCATACACTGCTGGCAGGAATGCAAAATGGTGCAGCTGCTTTGGAAAAACAGTCTGGCAATTCCTCAGAAGGTAGAAAAGAGTCATGATACGACCCAGCAATACACTTGTGGTAAATACCCAGAATAAATGAAAACATGTGTACAAATGTTCATAGCATTATTCATATTAGCCAAAAAATAGGAACACAACCCAAATGTCCACTAAATAATGAATGGATCAATAAAATGTGGTAAACACATACAATAGAATATCATTTAGAAATAATAAGAAATGAAGCACTGATGCAAAACAGGGTGAACCCCGAAAACATGCAAAGTGAAAGAAGCCAAATACAGACAATGCTGTGCTTCCATTCGTGATAGGCCCAGAACAGCCAAATCTACACAGTAGATCAGCTGCATACAGCTGAGTAAGGAGGGGCTGGGGAGAAATCGGCAGTGACTATAACAGGTGTGGGGTTTCTTTTACTGGGTGATAAAATGTTCTAAAATTGACTAGTAATGGTTGCACAACTCTGTAAATGTATTAAAAACCAATGAATTGTAAACTCTAAAAAGTAAATTGTATGGCATGTGAATATCTCAATAAAGCTGTTCCTTAAAAAAAAAAAAAGGAAAGTATATATTCAGTGACTGTTTATTAAACATTTCAGTGTGCCATGTGCTATGTTAAGCAAAGTCTTTCAATACTCTTCTCCACGGTCACAAAAAAAGGGCTTCATTACCCCAAACTTTTCTAATTTGTTTTGTACATTTAAATCTGCAATTTGTATATAGTTTGTTCTAAATTTTTACTCCCAAATAGCCAAATGTTTCAACTCTATTTGCTGAATTCCTCTCCCAATGAATGACAGTGTTGTTTTTGGTATCAACTAAATTCTCTATAAATACATGGTCAGACTTTAAACTCGATTACATTCCACAAACCTATTTGCCCAACCCTAAAGCAACATAGCCATGAACCACACATGGTGTTTTGGTCAAAGATGCACCACATGAGATCATGACAATGGCAAATCCCTTCTGCCTGGAGACATCTTGATGATCCTGATTTCATGCAGGTCTGGGCTAATGTGTGTGTTTGTGTCTTCTGGCTTTTTGTATGTGTGTATGTGTCTTCTGTTTAACAACAAAGTTTAAAAAGAAAAAAAATCAATAGAAAAAAGCTTATAGAATAAGGATATTGAGAGAAAATATTTTTGTACAGCTGTTCAATGTGATTGTGTTTTAGACTAAATATTGTTACAAAAGAGCCAAAAAGTAAAAAAAAAATTAAAATGTTTATTACGTAAAAAAAATTACAGTAAGCTAATGTTAATTAATTACTGAAGAAAGAAAAACACTGTATACATACATGTATAGTGTCTAGAATGTCTGCGGGAGCGTACGAGAATGTCACTCTCCACTCAGTGACTCCACAGAGCAACTTCAAGTGCTGCAGGCTCCACAGGGCAAATACCCTATACAGTTATACCATTTGTCATCTTTCATACCATATTTTTGCTGTGCCATTTCTATGCTTAGTTGTGTAAATACTTCCCATTGTGTTACAACTGCCTATAGTATTTTATAGTAATAGCTGTATAAGTTTGTAGTCTCAGGGAAACAGGCTATGCCATAGAGCTAGGTGTGAAGTAGGCTGTACCATCTAGGTTTGTGTAAGTAAATGCTTATGTCTGCACAAGTAAACTGTAACGATTTATTTCCTTTTTACTTTAAAAAATTTTTCTTTTTTCTAGAGTCAGTATCTCACTATTTTGCCCAGGCTGAACTCCTGGTCCTAAGCGACCAATCCTCCCACCTCAGTTTCCCAAAATGCTGGGATTTCAGGTGTGAGCCACCATGCCCAGCCAGAATGCATGCATTTCTTAGAATGTACTCCCATCATTAAGTGCTGCATCACTGTACCACTGTTTTAATTAATGTAGCCTTTTTGTTTTGAGTAGGAGTCTCACTCTGTCACCCAGGCTAGAGTGCAGTGGCATGATCATGGTTACCACAGTCTCAACCTCCTGGACTCAGGTGATCCTTCTACCTCAGCCTCCCGAGTAGCCAGAAATTCAGGCATGTATCACCATGCCTGGCTGATTTTTAAATTTTTTGTAGAGATGAGTTTCTTGCTATGTTGCCCAAGCTAGTCTCAGGCCATCCTCTCACCTCAGCCTCCCAAAATGCTGGGATTACATGTGTGAGACACCACACCCAGCTAACTATAACCTTAAGATATGTTCTGATATCCAGTAGAACACCTGCTCATTCTATATACTGAAAATCATTTCTGGCTATTCTTGAGCTTTCTCTGATTCTAATGCTCTATATAAATCTGCAAGTTTACAAACACGCCCTCTGAAATTGCTACTAGAATTTTATGCATTTACAAATAGTTAGAAGACACTGTCTCTTCCTTCTTTCAGGTCTCCGCTCAGATGTCACCTAAGTGAGGCCTCCCCCGTCACTTAACTGTGTGTTCAGCACTTACCACCATCTAACATACTACATATTTTACTGTTTCTCCCTGCTTCCTCTTCACCACCACCTACTGTACCTAGTGGAAGGTAAGCAGCATAAAAGGGAAGCCTTAATTTGTTTGCAACTCTCAGAGATACTCTAGCTGTACCTCTGAGAACAAAAAGAATGAGCTCTCAAATGTTTGCATAATAAATGGATCTTCAAAAGTGAATATTCCAAACCAGGGATATAGGATCACACTGATTAAGGTCTTCTTTTGTCTTTCAGGGAGGTTTTAGGAGCCTTCATTACATGGGTTTTATACTTCTAGTTTTACTCGTAAGTTTTCATATTTGACTATTTTTTTGAGTAAGACTTTTTTGTTACATTTTTGATGGAATGCTATGATTTGTGTATGCTGCCCTCATATGTAGTCACATTTATCTGGCTGCGAATGTTTTCCTTCCATTTTTAGCTTATTAAACTTCAGAAAGGAGCACAAGCTAGCCTTTTTTTTTGAGTTGTAGTCTCACTCTGTCGCCCAGGCTGGAGTGCAGTGGCACACTCACGGCCACAGCAGCCTTGACTTGCTGGGCTCCAAGTCCAGCTGGCTGGCTGATTTTTTTATTTATAGTAGAAACAAGGTCACACCAAGTTGCCCAGGCTGATCTTGAACCCATGAGCCTAGGCAATCCTCTGAGGCCTCCCAAAGTGCTGGGATTATAGGTGAGAGCCACCGCACCTGGTCACAAACTAGCCTTAATCTAGTTCAGAGCTCCTTCCATACCTACTGTTTTCTACTGCTTTCAGTCACAAGATAACTTTTTGTATTCTATGCACACCATGCCTTCCTAGGACTCCATGTCACTGATATCTTTCTGAGATAGGGCTGACATGACACACGTCAAAGTGAGAGCTTGCTCTAATGTACTTTAGAGCCAAAGTCAAATTTTCTTCTAAGAGAAGACAATTTTTTTTTTAAACTTGCACACGCATGTTTATTGCAACATTGTTCACAATAGCAAAAACATGGAACCGTGCTGCCCATCGAAAGAGGGCTGGATTTAAAAAATGTGGTACATGTACACAATGGAATATTATGCAGTCATGAAGAAGGACACACTTATGAAATCTACAGCAACTTGGATGGATTTAGAGTCTATAATACTGAGTGATTTATCACAGAAACAAAGAACTGACAATCACATATTCTCACTCATAAGCAGACCTTGAACAACTATTGTAATACTATAAGAAAGGGATTGGCAGTAGTGGGAAACTGCTACAGGAGGGTAGGGGCGGGATTTGGAGTAGTGGAAACTGCTGGGGTTGGCAATAGTGGGAAACTGCCAGGGGAGGGGAGGCATACCTCAACAACAAGGGTACTTACATAATGAACATTTGTATGCCTAACCCTGAATTGTACCCCACATCTTTTTTTTTAATTGGAGTCTCACTCTGTCGCCCAGACTGGAGTGCAGTGGCCGCTCCCGGCCACCGCAGCCTCGACCTGCTGGGCTCTGGCGATCCTTCCGCCTCAGCCTTCCAAGTAGCTGGGAACCACAGGCGCACGCTACCATGCCCACTAATTTTTTGATTTAGTGTAGAGATGAGGTCTCGCCAAGTTTCCCAGCCAGGTCTCGAACCCGCAGGCTCAGGCAATTCACTCACCTCAGCCTCCTAAAGCATGGGATTACAGGCTGAGCCACCGAGCCCGGCCATACCACACATCTTTAAAAGAAAAAAGAAAATATAGTGACTTGAAGAGAAGGAGCTGACAGTCAGGAACAACTTAAGAAAGCGGATACCAGAGCCAAGGTGTACTTGGTCTACCACAGCATTTCCTCTAAAAATATCCTTGTCAACCAGGCTGCAGGATTTTATCTTTGAATTTCATTCTAAAATGATACCAATAGGAAACCCCTTGAAATAACAAGGATTCTTTTTTAAAACGTGCAGACTTTGCTAAGCATCATAGTATTACTTGCCACCATTTAAAATATTTTAAATCAGACTTTTTACTCATAAACATACTGCTCGGAAGAAACAGGTAGGTTTGGTTTATTTTTTAGTCTTTTGTGCTGGTGGGGACGAAATGAGACAACACAACTTGAAGGAGGAAGATGGAGAGGTTGCTTGATAGTCCGGAACCTCCTTGAGGGTGGGGAACTGGTGGGGACCTCAGTGCGAGTGTAGACCAGGATGTGGACACTGGGCTCTGGGGGGCTGCTCCCTGGATGGAAGACGACCCGGTTCCTTCGTCCTCTTCTGTCTGCCTCCTGGTCTTTGTTGTCGGTCCAAAAGGACATGTCCTTCACCGAGCTGGTCAGATCAGGCAAGCTCTGAGATGTTACCTTGAGGAGGCCCTCTGCAGAGCTTTCCTCAAGTGTCAGGGTTGTGGACCCAATTTAAATCCAAACCAATTTGATTTTTCTCCTGGTGAATGTGTGTTTCTTAGGTCGCTGTTTCTATGGCAATCCAAGCTTCCTGAACTTAAGATCCTTCCCAGGTCTCCCCCGATTTGCTTTCAGGAGATAATCTCGAGAAGACAACTCTTAACAAGACAACTGTTTTTCCAGTGGTAAGTAGCAACCCATTAGTGGACCATGGCCACCATTTAAAAAGTAGTATCAGCACATATCACACAGGTTAAGGTAATTACTGTTTTATAAGTTTCTGTTAGATGAATATACATGCAATGATGAAAAAAAGTGTTATGAGTAAAACAAAATTGGAAATATACTAATACTTATGAAATGTACATGGAAGAGAAACGTGGCAAGGCGTGTGAAGGGAAGGTACATGAGGATGCTGAGGGAAAGGAAGTAACAGAAAGGAGGTTCTAAGAAGCGCTACTCAAGTGTGAGTCAATAAGGCCTCAGCCGGGCCATGAAAGTAGATGAGCGACAGCTCTAAGGAAAAATTACAAAGACTCTTCCTTCCAGGAAATAAGATGACTTTAACTATCTGAAAAAAGCAGTTCTATTTGCTTATCTATTTGACTCAAGATCATTGTCCCAAGAGGTCTCAAACATTAACACCTGGAATGTTTTGCTTTCGAGTTGCATTACACATAACTTACCTTGCTCTCTCTCTCTAATTCACTTCGAAGCCATTCAAAGTCACTGTATCGTCTTCTAACAGTAGATTCCTTCAGCTTGAAAATAGGTAGATTTGTCTGAAACAAAGAAAAGTTACTCCTAAATTGAAGCACACTAAGGAATCTAGGCTTGCAAACTGGTAACACGGCAAGCCTGGTAACCACAACATAAGAAACCATGGAGGTGATTATGAAGGTGACATTCTACCCATAACAAAGTAAAATTCTGCTAGTTGTTGACAAGCATGTTATTCACATAAGAATACAACTTTTAAAATGCACCTTTGCATGTATGCTTTTGCATATCATTCTTCCTGGAGTTATTTACATAGATACAGGTCATTTTTTCCTATTATCTCCAGGGGCTTTTAAAAATGTCAAATAAGCTGGGCGCAATGGCTCATGCCTGTAATCCCTTTGGGAGGCAGAAGCAAGAGGATTGCCTGAGTCTCAAGGTTCAAGATCAGCCTGGGCAACTTGGCGAGACCTTGTATCTACAATAAATCAAAAAATTAGCCGGGCATGGTGGTGTGCGCCTATGGTTCCAGCTATTTGGAAGACTGAGGTGGAAGGATCACCTGAGCCCAGCAGTGGCATGGAGCCCAGCAGTGGTGCGGTAGCTAAGAGCATGCCACCACACTCCAGCCTGGGTGACGGAGTGACTCCTACTCCAAAAAAGAAAGTAAACTAAGCAGGGGTAAGAAAAGGCTGGCTCTGACTCTTATGAAGCTTCACTAGTCCTATGGGGGTGGAACACGCCTTGCCTACTTTTTAATTTTATTTTTTACATTTTCTTTTCTCGGTGTTCATTTGTTATATCAAAATCCCAACTTATGTTTCAATGCCTATTACTGACTACTGACCTAGACTTTCTTTTTTTTTAAGAGACAGAGTCTCCTAGCTTCAGCAACATGGTGAGACCTTGTCTCTACAATAAATTAAAAAACTAGCTGGGTGTGGTGGTGCACACCTGTAGTTCCAGTTACTTGGAAGGATGAGGTGGAGGGATCACCAGCAGGTCGGGGCTGCGGTGGCCATTAGTGTGCCATTGCACTCCAGCCTGAGCAACAGAGTGAGACTGACTTGAAGGGAAAAAAAAGGGTCTCGCTATGTTGCCGAGGCTAGATTCAAACTCCTGGGCTCAAGCAATCCTTCTGGCTCAGCCTCGAGTAGCTGGGACTATAGGTTTGTGCCACCAGGCCCGCTTACCTACTTTTAAAGAAAACACAAAACACTTTGCTGTGAGAACTAGGTTAGAAGGGACATTATGAAAAACACGAATAAAGCATTATTCTTAAATTCATCTAAAAGATGCTAAAAAGAGCCAGGAAAGTGTTGTCATGTCTGTATTCTTACCACTAGTAAGTCGCTCGGTAGACCAGGTTCATAGGTCCAGAGCTTCATAGGCAGGGGCAGATTTGAGACCTAAAAACATAATGCCCCCGTACTTTGAGATTAATTGGAGTATAAAAAATTTTTTGGAGACCCTGTTCTTTACAAGACTGCAAAGGCTACTTGTTGCCACTTCTAAATTTTAAAAAAGTAACTAGAAAGACTTTATCTTTTACTAGATCTCTTTTAAAGAAAAAATATGCTACCAAATCCAATAAAAAATGGTTTATAACTAAAGACTATTAGCAGAAGTGGTACAATATCAGTATTTTATCCAAGAATATATTTTAGGCTGGGTGCAGTGGTTCATGCCTATCATCCCAGGATGTGGGGAGGCAGAGGGGAGAGGATTTGCTTGAGCCCAAGAGTTTAAGACCGGCCTCGGCAACTGTGTCTACAAAAAAATTTTTTAAATTAGTCATGTGTCATGGTGTACTCCTCTAGTCCTAGCTACTCGGGACGCTGAAACAGGAGGATCGCTTGAGCCCAGGAGATTGAGGCTGCAGGAACCGTGATTGTGCCACTGCAGTCCTGTCTTAAAAAACAAAACAAAACCAAAAAACAGGTTTTAAAACGTGCATAATATCACAAAGTTTGTAGGAGACAAAAATGATCTAACATAATTAATAAACCATAATAAGCCATGCCTTAGTAAACAATAAATATTAACAAGATATATTCTCTTAGGTTATATTTTGTCCTTAATTCAGTCTTTGTACTTGTAGAACTGCAAGCTGTTTCACAGCTTGGAGAAAAAAATGCACCTGAAGGAAAGACGGCTTCCCGCTTTGTATTTAGGGACATCATCATCTTGTAAAATTCTCTCCTAAAAAAATTCCATTCATTTGTTAAACTTAATGCCACTGGTAAACAGTTGTCATTCAGCACAAGAAAAGCTTTTTGTTCAGGACCTTAAATCCATTTTGTAGTGGTCTCAATTTTTTCCAAAGTGTATTAACTTCTCTGTGTTGTATACCTTATAGCTCAGAATCTTCAACAGATGCTATTGGGCATATCAGTGTATAGGTTTCAAGCATGAAACCAAATCTCACAAGAGGTTTAAAAAGCACTTGAATTTTCTTTCCCAGGTAACCACAACATTTGTTCATTGTATTAATGACTAAGGGCAAAATTGCACCTAACAAGACTCTTATTATACTAAAAGTCAAGCTTATATTTAAAGATGCTGGCTTGTTGTACAGAGAGGTATTCTCATTCCCCGCAATGGAATAAAACTAGGTCCCCTGGAGAGCAGAATGATAATTCCCAGAAAGAAAGCGCTGGATTATTTCTCTCTAATTTCACCCATTGGCTTTTTAACCAAGTTCACCCTTTCGCATTAAAATATTAAGTCTTTGTAAGTGTCTAAAGATAGAAAGGCCTTTACAGAGTTGAATGTTTTCTGCAGGTGAGATTTTACATTTTGAATTCCCTCCTCTCAAATTTCTTTACAAAAGGGATTAACTGCTCTCTTTATTCAATATGTTAAGATCAAGTTTGTGAAAAGAGTTCCCTAAGAATTTTCATACTTCTGGGTACGGAAGTCTATAAAGTTAATCTCTGAAACAACATATCAAGCTTACAGGTACAATGTTGAGGGAGAGGTGCCAATTCAGCTCATTTTCCCTTCCATTTTCCCTTTTGAACTTTTGACACAATCGTGATTATATCTGATTCACTCTCAAGAGAAGTGGCGGTAAGAAGGAGAAAAGTTCTTTCCCTTCTGTGATTAGCTAATAGTTTGATAAATTATATGTATTTTTAAACAGATCCAAAGTTTAAGGAATGGTTTTACTTAGCTGGCCACGATTTCTTTTTGTATGGGGACTGCTTTAGTGTTCCCTTCAATAAATCCTTAATACCAGTTGCCCCTTACACTTAGAGGGGCAATCTTGTCTGTTCAACTTCTTCCTGATTATTAAAAGGACTTTTAATTCAACTTACTTATCAAAATAAACAAGAGAAAAACACAAGGATTTTTTGTTTAAGCCACTGAACTATCACTGTTGATTAAAAACCCGTAAAATCAGCTGTGCGTGGTAGCGTGCGCCTGTAATTCCCAGCTACCCGAAAGGCTGAGGCAGAAGGATCGCCGGAGCCCAGCAGGTTGAGGCTGCAGTGGCCAGGAGCGGCCACTACACTCCAGTCTGGGCAACAGAGTGAGACTTCAACTCAAAAAAAAAAAAAACAAAAAAACTCATGATTGGGCCGCGCTCGGTGGCTCAGCCTGTAATCCTGCGCTTTGGGAGGCTGAGGTGAGTGGATTGCCTGAGCCTGGGGTTCGAGACCCGCCTGGGCAACTTAGTGAGAACTCATCTCTATAATAAAATAAAAATCAGCCAGGCGTGGTAGCACATGCCTGTAATTCCAGCTACTCAGAAGGCTGAGGTGGAAGGATCGCTGGAGCCCAGCAGGTCGAGGCTGCAGTGGCCGGACTACACTCTAGTCCGGGTGATAGAGTGAGACACCAACTCAAAAAAAAAAACTCGCAATTGGTCACTTTCAACTGACTTAACGTTTATAAAATGAGAGGAAAAGAGTACAAATTTGTTTTTTCCCTAACACTTTGGGAAAACTCAACTGTTATTTACTGATAATCTATTTTTAAAAGTGTAGTGCTAGATAAGGTGAAGAATCATGATTTATAATAATAATTAAGATGCAGTCCAGTCAGGCACGGTGACTCATGCCTGTAATCCCAGCACTTTGGGAGGCTGAAGTGGAAGGACTGCCTGAGTCTAGGGATTCAAGACCAGCCTGGGCAACTTGGTGAGCCCTCATCTCTACAATAAATCAAAAAAAAGAAAAAGGTAGGCGGGCATGATGGCACACACCTGTGGTTCCAGTAACTTGGAAGGCTGAGGCAGAAGGATCACCTGAATCCTACAAATCAAGGTTGTGGTAGCCATGATCTTGCCACTGCACTCCAGCCTGGACCACAGAGTGAGACTCAGACCCCACCCCCCACAAAAAAGAAAAAAAAATGGCGAAAACTGTGTGAACTAAATGCAGAGGAAGCAAGTAGAGGGTATATTTAGTAAGCAATTCTTGGATAGTCTATTTAATACGGAATGCTTTATGGAGCCCAAGTTAATCTTTGTATCATTCCAATTTTAGCTTATGTGCTGTGGAGGAGAGCACAATTCTTGGACACGCAAAAGCACAGGAGATGATGGGAAATAAAAGCAAAAAGGCTACACTGCACCCTGAATATCAGGCTAAGTTATCTACCCGTGAACACCAGGAGCTAACAAACATCTTAGAAGAGAAAAATGACACCTTTGAATAGAGAAAGAAAAGCAGAAAAGTTACTGCAAAAGCAGAAGACAGAGTAGCTGCATGTAAGGTTAAGGGGCAGCATGAAGAACAATTCATTCGGCTGGGCGCAGAGGCTCACACCTGTAATCCCGGGACTTTGGGAGGCCGAGGCAGGAGGATTGCCTGAGTCCAGGAATTCAGTATCAGCTAGGCAATATGGTGAGACCTCATCTCTATAATAAGCCAAAAAATTAGCCAGGCATGGTGTATATACCTGTAGTCCCATCTACCTGGAAGGCTGAGGCAGACGGATAGCCTGAGCCCAGGAGATCGAGGCTGCAGTGGCCCTGACTGTCTCACTGTACTTCCAGTCTGCGTGACGGAGAATTTGACTCAAAAAAAAAAAAGCCAGGCACAGAGGCCCAAGC